TTGGAAGGCAAGATGTACTCATCAATAAGCCCAGTGTAAACACTCTGCTCCACAGGCTGATCAAGTGCCTGCTCAGCTGTTTGTGTCACCAGATTGTCCCCGTGACACGGGAAGCATTTGCTAACTCACTTTGACCATAGTGTTCTCATTTTGCAAAAGATCATCAAGGTACATTGCAGGACTCTCTTCTTGGGCCAGAGGACAGAGCACAGAGGTTGGAAACCGATTTTCCTCTGGCAAGGGTACATGATGAAGGCCATGGGGATCCTGAGCATGTCCCAGTTGGTGGATGGTATTGGGCGTGAAGAAAACCTGGGTAGGAAAGAGAACTATGTCTGCAAAGCTTGAATAAATCCCCTGGCCTGATTCCCGTGGAGGAAAATGCTGAGTCTTTGAGGAAAATACCTAACTGACCATTAAAGCAAGCTTACAGAGTGTTTGTAAGGAGACTACAACCGCATGTGGAACTTAACACGTGATCAAATCACTTTGACACTTTGTTGATAAGAAAAATAAAAGGCTGAACTGAATTCATCTTATATTTAGAAGGCCAGATTTTTGAAGTAGTTTTTAAAAAAAGCTATTTTGACAAAATTGTATTGCTTGCCTTGTCCCTCCCAGCCTTTGGGAACCCCAACCCTGTGAAGACTATTGATTGCTTTTTGTGTGCACGCTTCCTCACAACTCAATTAGAACACATTTTTCCAGTGGGCAACGATCTTGATCCCATTAACATTCATGAGATGAGCTTGAGTCCCACTTGTTGTTTAATAAAAGAGATAGAATCCAGGGATATTATTCAGTCTAGTAGCCTATCACCTTGGGACAGCATTACTGCTGCAATTCTATTAAAAGCACCAGCAATTGGAAGGGAAGTAGCAATAACAAAAAATTGTTGCTTTTAGGCAATGGCTAGGAAAAAAACAAACAAACCTTGTTTGTTATGGATCTCCTCCACTGACTGTTTAATCAAGAGGAGAAGCTGACATGCTCTGGGCAGATGGGGACTATGCAGTGTCTCAGAAGGACTAGATGTCAATGACTCAGCTGACAAGAAAGATTTCGGAATTCCAGCGAACTTGTCAATATTGTCTTAAGCTTCCATTTCATTCCCACGAAGCCAGACCCCCACCCACACAACCCTTCTCTTCTCTTAGGGGGCCAGTGAGCATTTTGTTAGCTTTGTGCCAGAAGTCCTTCTACACATTAGTTCACTAAATTCTGGGGTGTTTCTGTAGTGTAGAGGTCATCACACTAATACACATTATTTCACTAAATTCTCACTGTGAGCTAAGTGGAAGATATGGTAACCCAGTATTATCAATTGTGTGGCTAAGTGCCATGCCCTGGGTTGTGTATATTGCTAGTAAATGATGGAAATGGAATTGGGGTTTAAAATCAGGTCCTCGGACATCTGGAGTGATGAAGAAAGGAGCACTCACATGGACAGAGTGCCTTGGTAGGAGCTGAAAGTGAACAGAGTTGGTTAGAAAGCCCTGGGGCTGAAAGAAGGCTCTTGTGGGGCTGGGTAACAAGACCGCCATTGGCTGGATGCTCATGGATGCTCAGAGAACAGCTACCAGTGTCATCTTCCTGGGAGTTTATCATCACTTCTTTGTTACTTCCCTCACACACGTTTTCGCTGAGCCTTGCTCCCTGAAGTGAGGATTGCATCTGAAGAATAAGAGTAAGTATTCAGAGGGTTGTGTGTACAAGGCTAGATGGAGACTTCTTCCTGCTTTCCCAGATTCCTTCCTTGGTTACACTCAAACATGCCTCCCACTTCTTCTCAGTTGGGAGTTATTGCTTTATTCTGTTCACATTACCATAACGAAGTACTACACATTGTGTGCCTTAAATGCATACTTGTGTTTCTCATTGGTCCAGTTGTTGGGAAATCCAACATCAAGGTGCTAGGTAATTCCATTCCTTCCATTCCTCTTGCTGGATTGGGGTTCAGGTGGTTGTGCTTTCACTGAAAGAGAGAGAGAGAGAGAGAGAGAGAGAGAGAGAGAAA